GCACTGTGGCCCCCACACCAGCCCATCCAGCCTGTCCCCTTTGAGATCCCAAAGTGCTCTCCAGCTCCCAGTGCTTTGCGGTAAGAAGAGCCCCTTGTTTTTGGGAGAATTTGGAGGAAGGCTGGAGGATCCTCCAGAGAGCAGCCTGCATCATCCCGGGATCAGCTGAAGCCCGTGATTATTCCCTGCTCCTGCGTGTCACCGAGGATCCCATTACACCGCGCCACGGGGTCTCCTTGGGCAGCAAAGYTTTGCCCAGAGCTGCCAACCCGAGATCCCGAGGGTCCCTCGCGCGGGTCCGGGGATGCTCCGAGCGCTGTCCGGAGCGAACGCGGCGCTTTCAGGCGCCGGCGGTGACTTTGGGGCCCTGGCTGAAGGTTGGCGAGTGTCTCGTTGCAGAGCCGCGGCGTTTATCGATCGTCTCCTGCCCGCGTTGCCGCCCCGCTCTCCTCGGGATGACAAACGGAGCTGCCGGCCTCCCGACTCTGATTTATTTTCCTCGCCACCCTCCCCTCCCTCCAGCGATGGGAAGACACAACTAAACCACGCTGGGCAGAGGCCATGGGGACCTGGGGACCCCGCTTTGCCTTGCACAGAACATCTCCACCCCCCTCTCCGAAAAGCCACCGTGGGGGGAAGCCAAGGAGCTGGAGCAAGGGAGATGGGAATCCGTGCACGGGTGACAGGGAAGAGAAACTGGGCTTGGGTGCCTGGGCATGGCGCTGTCCCCAGACTGGATGGGTCTCGGGCATCTTCTGGGTTCCTTGCCTGCCGCGGAGGTGACGCGTTTGAGCCCGAGGCTGTTTGTCCTTGGGAAGGTGACGGTGTTGCCAAGACGTAGCGCTTTCACCCCTGGCGCTGTGGAAACGCGGCTGTGATGCGACAGGCCGTCCCGGAGGACGGGGACGTGCTGCCGGGTGCGATGTCCCTCGCTCCCACGGTGGCGGGACCTGCGTCACCGAGAAGAGCTGAGACATGAGACACCCTGGAGGCAAAAGGGAGCTGGGGACTTCTGCGTCCTGCTGGCCTTTTTTGACGCTTTACTGCTTTTCCAAGGTGTCTCGCGCCCAGCTGCTGGTCCAACGTTTGAGCAACRTCGCCAGGCATGTCCTTGCTTTCCTGCCCACGGGACGAGCAGGGAAAGGGCCCTGTCTGCTGCCCAGTGCTGCAATGGGAGCTGCTGGCTGGTTTTGCTCCGCAGAGCAAGYGCCGCTCGCCCCAAAACCTTCCCGCCTGGCTGCGGTGTCAGAGCAGGGCTGGGGGGGCTCTTCCCATTTCTCCCATCTCCCAAACTCCTCTCAAGGCCCCCGAGAGCCCCGGCTGCCTCTCCGGGGGGTTCGGAGCGAGGCCGTGAACGCAGCCCTCTCGGAGCAGCCCTGGGGCGGGCAGCAGGCTGAGACCAGGGGGCGAGCTGGGGTGTCTCCGGCTAGGGGCAATGCCCAAACCCCGGCCCCGCTTTGGACGCTGCGGCTCTGCCCCGGGGCCCTGGACCCCGACGCTGCCTGGATCCTGCCCGTGCTGCGGGGGGTTATTCTTCTCTTCCCATTAATYGCTGAATACGAGGTGGCAAGCGAACAATTACCGGGCTAATGGCTCCATAAATCCCGTCATTACTTATTAACGTGGAGCACTCCTCGCTCAGCCGAGAGGGAGGAGAGAAAAAAAGAGGGATGAAATGGAGAGGAGAAGGGCTCAGGGGGCGGCGGGTCCCGGCCCTTGGGCTCCGGCTGCCGCTGGAAGGGCTGGATGAGACCCGGGCAATTCCYGGGCTCCCGCTGCCCTCTGTCGGCAACCGAACCRGGCCCGGGGTGGCCCGGCCAGGTCAAGGGGCTGCCGGGAGAGGCCCGGGGTGCTGGGAGGCAGGGGGATCCTTGCTTGTGGATCCGCTCCAAGACATCGGAGAGGTGCCGAAGGGAGCAGGGAGCCAAGCCCGGCAGAGCCGCTGCGGTGCCGCGAGGCGGCAGGGAGCGGAGCCCCGGGCCCCGAGCGGGCGCTCGGAGGAGGCACCCGCCTCCGGTCGGCTCTGCGGCGTTCCTCGAAGGGCTGCAGCTGCGTGGCGGATCGCTGCCGAGCCTCACCAGCATCCCGCGCCGGATGTTCTCCGGATTTTGGTTTTAATAATCTTCCTTGCAGACGCTGGCCTGTGGCGGAGGCCGCGGTGGCTAACGGGGGCAGAGGGGACACGAGGGTGGCTCCAGGAAGCTCCTTGCAGCCCCCAATTGCAGAGACCAGACACGTCCCCAGCTCACGAGTCTGCACCAGCCAGCGTCCCACGGAGCCGGTCTGCCATGGGGCCAAGGAGCCCGCTCCATCTCGCCTCCTCGGGCGGGTTGACCTGTTGCTCCTCCAACATTGCCCCAACCCAGATTCAGCAAAAGAGACCTTTAAACCTTGCAAGAAAGGTGTTTTTTTTTTTTAATCTGTGGCAAATAATGGGTTTATTTGGTTCTGCACCATCTAAACGTTACCCAGGACCAGCCCAAGTCCTCTTGCATGCACAACTCCCCTCGGTACCAAATGTAATTAGATGCTTATATCTACGCCATGGGCTCAAGGGCCATCTGGCACCTTAATTATTTATACATATAGATATAAAGGCAGACAGGGCGCGCTCGTCCGGGCCCGAGGGGAGATCCCTGCTCGCGCTGCGTCATCGCTCAGGGCCTGGCGAAACCTGCTCCTCTCCGGGGCTCTTCGGAGGTGCCAAAAGCCGCTCTGAAAAGCCACCGGCRTCCTGTTTGCTGGAGCAGGGACCCGCATCCCACTGCGGACAATGTCACCGTGTGGAAAAACCCGGGAGACGACTCCCTGCCCTTGAAGGGGCAGGCCCAGAAGGGGATGAAGCGGCAGCAGGAAGGCGCTGTCCCTTCCGCGCTGCGTCCCAGCGCTCATCCGAGGTGTCCTCTAAACCAGGAGTCATCGGCCCGGGAAGTGCAGGGAATGGTTCCCTGCAAACGGGGGAGCGCTTCGGACCGTGGCGGGACGCGGGGAGCCGTGTGGCTCCAAGTGTTCCACGCAATGAGTTTCTGTGACAGGTTAATAGTGTTTTGTCAAGGGGGTGCCGTGAAAAACGCGCCGCGGTGCCCCTGGCCGCAATGAGGGTGCTCTGGGGATGTTCCCGCGGGGATTTTCTCAGTTTCTGTGAGGAAACCGCTACCGCGGGACCACTGGAGCTGCCCGCCGGGCTCCGCTCTCCTCCCGCGCGCCGGGCCCGGCCCGCGGCGCCTCCCCGCCCTGACGGGAGCACGCGCACCCCCCACCCGCCGCGCGCCGCCGCTCGGCGCGCTCTGAGGCCGCCGCCGCAGCCCCGCGGCCAACGCTGCCGGGGCGCCGCCCCCTCCCTCGCTGCCACCAATCACAGTCAGAGCAAGCGTGAACGACGGCAGCTTTAGCGTATCGGACGAAGCCCACGGCGGTACCCAATCAGATGCCTGCGGCGATTTTCTCGTCCAATCATACGCGAAGGTGGAGGCTAGGGTAGCGGCCCGCGCTGCTGCGAGACAGGCATGGGGCTCAGCCTATCAGAGCAGCGGAGGGAAGGGTCGCGGTGGCCAATGAGGGTTGAAGGAGGGTTAAAGCAGCTCGCGAGAGTTCGAGAGGGACGATGGGAATCCGCGTCCGAGCAATCGGACCAATGGGAGACGGGGGCGGGGCCACATCCCGGACTGTTACAASTGGCAGGCTGGGGAGCCAATCAGAAACAGGAGGGGAGTCCTCCCAATGGCCAATAAGCAGCGGCAGTCCTCTGTGCTGGAATCTCTTATGATTGACAAGAGAGCCTGCCCAATCAAAAAACATTTCTCGTTTCAACCATCCACTAAGCGAAAGGGGCGTGGACAAGTGGGAGCAGGCTGCCTCTTTCCGCGCCTGCCGGTAGAGAGACAGTGCCGCGACCAATGGGAGAGGGCAGCGAGAGGGGAATGGGCGGGCCTTCCGCCAGCGAGGCCGAGCGCGCGCGCGGCGGGGGCGGGGCCGAGCCGCGCGGCGGCCAAC